AAAAAAAAATTGCACCGTGTGTATGAGAAGTTCAATTCAGTGCGTAACTTTTTCTTCCGCACAAGCAGACAAAGGCGAGAACTGGGGCAGCTGCGTGACTAAGACTCAAGCCCTCAAGTCGTATTCGAAATTGCGCTCAAATCGTTCCCAGGAGCTACCGGTTCGTAAAAGAATGATTTAATTATAGAATGAGCGTTAGCAAAGATATAATGGTGTAGCAAGCTAGGCAATGCACTGCTAAATTCATCAGTTTTTTTTGCCAGCCATATTATTAGGTGCTCCTAATGCTAAAAATTAATTGGTATTCCTCGCGAATATTCAAAGTATCGGCTATTACTATAAGAAGACTCGAGATCATGACGGCCAATGATCAAGAGGACATGGATCATGACGGTTAAAATACGTTCAGGAGATTGTTCAGTAAATATAAAACGCATAACCTTGCGGCACCAAAAAAAACTGCACATAATTTCCCTACACAATTACAGCCACGCCCACGCTTAGCAGATGCCAAGGAATAACGAATAGTTAGAGGTAACAAATGTCATGCGATAATGAAAGCCGTCACAGCGACAGTGAAGTCAACGGTCGGAGTCGACCCCTGCCCCCGACATGTAGATCGCTAAGCTGGATTTTTTCACAGCGCTGATGCTAGTCTTTATCATAACGGGGGCAAAACAAGCAAAGAAAAACAATATATAAAGACAGGTCATGTCGTCATTTCCTTCCTTGCAATAACTGCGCTAGACGGCGACGTCGCTCCATGCAGGCATTAAAATGAACGCAGACAGAGCGAATGCAGATACAGTCCTGGCATTAAATGAACTTGGACCATTCTATCAGTATCGTATTGAAGGCTGAAATAATAACCACAATATAGAGGTTAATATGATTAAATGAACTATAAAAAGATCAAAACTGGAAGCGGCGCAAAACAACTAATAAAATAAGTTGACGATCAACTGCTTTTGTTATTGTGTTCCTAACAAAAAAAAAGAAAAGAAAGCTATCATATATTATGCGTGGAAGGTCAGCTCTCTCCTCACGACCTCTCCCAATCCGTCTCGCTGCTGAGCTTGGCAATCTATTTATCAAAAATTGCCTTTGAAACTGAAAATGCACAAGGTGTAGTATATTCCAGTCCGAAATCATAAGTGATTGCGAAACAGAAGGCTATTAACAATTTTTTTTGTCGAGTGGATTAATAAAATAAGTCCCAACATATTTGAGACCATTATTGACAAGTAATCACTAACATGCATGTTAACATTCACATTAGGCCATAAATTTTTAATAGGTCAGCTTTTGAAATAAAATAAGGATGTATACATAAGAATTATGAATATTACATTAGAACATTATTAACGTTTGTTTCCGAACATCCAGCAGAATGTCATGGGACATGCCAAGCTGTCAGAACCTGTGCCGCCAAATGACACGGCAGGCACCGTGTTTCGATATACAATAACACAACAAATAACCAATAATGAATATAAAATCAGTATTATTAAGTACGTTCACCCAACCAAATGTCGTGAGGCATCCCAAGCTATCAGAACCTGTGCCGCCGATAACACGGTGGACACCGTATTTCGATATACAATAACACAACAAATAACCAATAATGAATATAAAAACAGAATTATTATGTACGTTCACCCAACCAAATGTAGTAGGGCATCCCAAGCGGACGGCACCTATAGCGGCCAGGGTACACGGGGAGGCGCCGTGTCTGCCACGTCATCGGAAGGCCGCGGCACTCGACCTTCCTGTCCATATCTCGCCTACAAGCATTTTGTGCACGCACAATTCATGACATTTAATTAAATAAAATCTGAGAAACTAAATTTAATAAATTAATTAAAAATGATATATGATTTAAGTATAAATTCTAACGATTGCCAATAATTTCCAGTCAATGCAAATGAACTCATTGCAAAGAGGACACAATATACGGAACGCATGCATAAAATAACTCATCTCAGAGCAATTGAGAGAGCAACGCCTTTCTATACAATAAAAACTATACAACTTTGGTTTCATATTTCAAACGCTGTTAATCTTGAGGCAGCGTCTGCATGTAGCAGTCTCCCGCCAGCCGCCCAACGCTCGAGTAAGTGGCCTTGGCCTTCGTAAATATAAGTTTCTCCAGAAGCAGGAGTCGAGGGTCAGAGCATATACACCGCACGCCGAACAAGCGGCCGCAAGCTCAGCGCACTTCTTCTTTGGTGACAACTACAACTTGTTTGCTTATGCACTCTTTGAAAAGAAGGCAATGAATGCTATAATTTACAGCCGCGCTCGAAGATGTCGACATGTTTTATGACCAGTGATCGGTGACGTAGGTGATCTAAAATGATTAATAACTATCTACACCAATAATAACCATCAACAGAATCAGAACGAGCGCGATAGAGAAAGATAGATTGCCGTCCAAACAAGTTCACAGAAAAACACGAAAAATTCCGGTTTCTAGGACCCAGTACTTACTTAATAATCTTATACCTTATTCAGTCAAATTTTAGGACAGTACCTCTATTATTTTATGACAGACAGTCTCAACTCACCCAGTTTCAGCCAGTTTATGGAAGAAAAGAACAATAGCTATACGATAATCTCCAACTTATCCTAGCGAATTTCCCACAATGATAATGAAGAGTTAATTCTGAGTAGAGTATCTGAATCACAAAACGGAGCAGCAGATGCAGGATGATGTTCAAGGTTGACCATGCAGACGTCGATATAAGCACATCACTCATAGGAGGGTTCAACAAGCAGGGACATAGTACAGGAGTACGGCCACTGAATATCAATGAGGTGCAGCGGGCATATTTAGGAGCTGCGTAGATGCAAGGTGACTTTAAAGATTATTCTTGTTATATTATAAAGCTTAATAATTGGTAGCTTTTTCTACACATAACTTTTTAAATTACATCGAACCGTTTGGAACAGTTTGATGGATTTTGTATCGCTCCTATATAGATGGCGGGAATAACAAGGTTATTTTCGTACATTTGCTTATAAAATTCTAATTTCCTGTAATGAAAGCAAATTAAATGGAAACGGGTTTAAATCAAGTAATTCATAGTTGAAACGTGAAAAATTAATTTGCATGACTAAAATTTACTCAGGGATATAAAATCACGATCGGCAAGAATCTCATATTCAACATACAGTTAGTTCAGCAAACTAAATATGTATATTTGATATTCAGTGACAACACATGCAGGCATTTAATTTGTTCAAAGTATTTGTACGTGAGTCAGTCTCAACACTAGATTACGGTAGCACAAAAATGCAAGAAGGAAATAGCACAACGTGACTCAGCTCCAACTTATCTCGTTCCTATGAGAAAACGAGGCAAAAAAAGAATACGTTCAATGTCAGCGGTGCCAGGAGCCACTCATGTATGACGTCTCGACGATATAATAATAATAATTGGACATGAATCAGACGCTCTAAAATAGCAGATGGTAATTGAACATAACAGACTAAACTCCCTTTATAATCGACACTACAATTCTGTCATCTAATAGGAGATAGCAGTCTATTAACATAAATATCTGAAAATACACTTAATTGACACTGAAGCAGAGTGAAAAGCAAAAAATTAAGTAAATATCAAGATGTAGTTAGAATCGACGCTTGAAAATAACATTTACATTATCGGCAAACGTAAATTTACGCTTGTAAATTTGGAGATGCAGGCGAAGCTAGAAACGTTATTTTAAAACGGCACTTAGTCGAAAATTTTAAAATAAACTGTTAAATAAGGTTAATGCAACATAGCAGAGTTGAATTGCAGCCATATTGATACATTGATTGATTGATCCGGCCATATTGATACATGATTAGAACGGAATTATCTGGCAGCCATAAACAAACGTGGCGAACGCACCATCAGTCATCATTACAGCAATTAGCGCTATCAGGGCGGATTAGAGCGATGAGAACAGAGTCACGCACTTCTGGGTTATACGTACGCAAGGGGCACGAGCGCGTATCTTCTAAGACGGATGCCGCGTCACGCAATTCGTGGTATATGTAAAGGACACGAGTACGTATCTCCTGCGATAGAGGCCGAGTCACATAAAGTCAAATTATACGTAAGTTGACAGGAGTGCGCATCGCCAGCGATGGATATCGCGTCACGCGATGCTTAGTATACTAAAGGGCACGAGCACGTATCTCTCGCCCGCCGGAAAGCACACAGCGGCAGCGATGCAGGCTGCCCACGACATCCTGTCGCCACAAATAGGCTGTCGCTCCTTCAGTTGAGCGCCGCTGCACCAGTGCAAGAAGGCTATCACCAGACACTGCTTGGCGAGTGCTCGTAATGTGAATGTTGAGTGAGCTCAGGAACAAGCTGAATGTTGAGTGAGCTCATTCAATAGGTAAATGATGAGTGATTTCATACGTAATCTTAACATGGAGTGATCTCATTCAAAAAGTAAATTTTGAGTGATTTCTTATGTGATATTAATTAGCACTGAATGATCTCATTCAAAAGGTAAATGATGAGTGACTTCATACGTAATCTTAACACTGAGTGATCTCATTCGAATGTTTAACTCCAATTAATCTCATTAGGAGATTCACCTTTTAATCTCAATCGGAAATTAAATGTTGGGTTGTCTCGTTTTAAAGTTTATTGAAATCTCGCCCGTATTATAAATGCTGAGGCATCGCGTTCATTCGAAGATTTGAAGCGACTGTGGTAATCGGCAGGATGATATTCATGGAGTGGTGAAATCACATTGAAATAAAGTAATGCATCTTTGGGGCAAGTCCCTTAATATGTTAGTAACGTCAGTGCGATTAGTGTCAGAGGGAAAATGAAATTAGAGCTTCTTCACTACAAAAGTGCTCTTAGTCATCACAAAGTTCATGTATCGCGGAGTAATCGCCTAACGACTAATTTCTAGAATATTTTTCAAAGCAATGATCAAGGAGGCAAACTATTGAACAGAAAATATTCATGCAACATTCATTATTTTGAAAGCAGGAGAACCTCTGGAGGCGATTCCGGAGATTCCAGATGTCCAGAACATTAGGGAGTCCCCGGACCCAGCGGAATCTATTGAGTGAGACACTGCAGCATGCGTGCGTGGTATCGAAGACGCCCAACACGACGTCGAGCTCGCTAGTCTGCTGTCTACGTTCGTCGGGGACACACGTGCGATAGCAGCGTCCAGCCTTGCTGGCCAAGTGATCCAAGTCTATCAGACATATCAGAGGTCAGCCTTGATTGTACACGAACTGTTCTCCGCACATTCAAGGCTTGAACAAGAATAGCAATCAAGATTTTGAATCCATCTGCAGTAATTACTAACCAAGGTGAGACGCCTTTTTATTTTGTTTCCTTCAATTTAGGCGTTTTATAAATATTCGTACTTGCACTTGGTGACAATCCGTGCTAAGAATAAGAAGTGAGTTCAATTGTGAGGGTCTCGAGAAAGTTAATTAGCTCCACAACACGCGTTTGGCATAAAGCTGGTCCCATGGCCTGGATAAACTCTTCTCAAGGTCTAAAGCACTGAACCCATATTTTATTTATGCGACATATATGGTAAATAATAATTTATTTTCTAAACATCCAAGCGAACAATCGATCATCGATAATTGGAACCGAGGTATTTTCAAGTTTTCGAGGCAGAAATATTTTTTATAACAAATTTGTTCTTGAAATGTACAAGAACTGGAATGGTCCCCTTTTCCATTGCGGAAAACAAACCTTATCCGCACGACTTTTGATGCCGTTTAAATTCACAATTCTCAATGATGAAATCAATAACTGACACTAATAAAATATATTTACAGTGCATTAAATCACATATTCGGCGCAAGAGAAATTATGACTGCAACTTAAATAGAAATTATTGGACTCTGTGACACGGCAAACCAGCTGCATCCAGCTCAGGCTCAGCGGGTTAACGCTCTGAGCAAGTTTATGTCCAGACTAGATAAGTGCCAGCCTCGAGCACGATTCTAAGAACACCAGTTTCTTGACACCATTCCAAATCAAATTATAATTTTTAAATCGTGTTACAGGCGCTGTAACACTGACAGAAATATATTCTCCACGTAGATGAAAGCAGTGGCTAATAGCATTTTAGGTGCAGCAGGACCAAGGCAGTCATCGAGCACATTCTCTCCAGCCCAATAGGCACCATTAAGAATTCGTGCACATCATGATGCTCATCGCGTAGTCAAGCATAGACAATAAACATGGGTGGAGCGCCCGAGTCCACATAACGTCAACGCCTAACCAGACATTCTTCCCATCATAAGGAACCTATTTTTATTTCTTCACTCCAGGCCTAACCATTGATAATCAAGATGACGTAATAAAAAAGGAGGCAACCTTGAGTAACGATCAGTAGCCGGTATTGCTTCATAATTTGTTAAGTTCAAGGATGTTCGAAATTCCGATCACCTGCGAGAACATTGGCCGGAATACGGTATTAGAAAAATCCTAAATGACCCTAGCAATTAAATTATATCATTCAATAAAAAAAATTCAACATGCTGGGGCTGCACTTCTAGCATAAAAAATCAACGCAATAAAAGATGCAATTGTGAAGCACGCGTAGCAAATGCAAACGAAAAAAGGTTAACCTGATTTCGGAAACGAGACCAACAATTAGGCAATAAGGCTGGAAGCCTTCCCTGACGACCCGCGCACAATTTCAAGGTTCACTGATAACCTTTGCGCAAAACGTAGCTCGCTGTCAGCCGACGATCAGTAATGGCGGCCTGGCTGAACACTCTTACAAGAGCAAATGATCGTTCATCACTAGCACCAGAAAGTAATGATTCTTGTGATGATTACTGGAGCAACAGAAATGATAGCTGACATCAACCACCACATTTAAAGAACTTGAATTTGTAGATGTATAAACTTAACAGCAGAATAGAATTAATTGAAGCCCATAATAACAACATCGGTAAAAATGGTTTCGTAAAATGATCAGAGATATTTTTACATGAAATTCGACGGACGATTAAAAAGTCCTTAATAATGCAACATTGAAATTGGTTCATCATGCATAATTCCAGGGAGAAGGAATGATGTGCCGACATGAGCATGACGCAGGCTTGTAATGCACGCGGCGCCACGCAGGCGTGTCGGAGGTGGTGGCGCGGGAGCCTCCCGTTAGGATAAGCGCATTCATAGCCGCTAACGTGACGATAGACGGTCAACTTATTTTTAAAATATATATATTTATTTTGAAATTGCATTTATGAGGATGTCGTGTTCGGGCAGAAATCACTCACGCTTAACTGTTTATTTTTAGTAATTTAGTAATATAATTTATTAATTAACATTTTCAATTTAATATTTATAGTAATTACTATTTAGTAATGTAATTAGGATATACTTAATTAGTAAAAATAATACGCTTATAATGCTTGTAAGGCAAGAACAGTGCTTCTGAAGTCGTGATAACTAAGCCCCCTAAATTAATGGTACTTATTTTGCAACGTTACAGGAAATTTTCTTCTATTTCCAAGACTCGATGGAATTTGAAGCATCAAATTAATGTGTCTAAAGCTACAGACGAACGCTGGTTAAAACTAACGTAGGATCGTCACGGGCAGGAGTGCCTGCATGGGCCGTCAACCCTGACTACAACTTGACATGGTCGACCTGCGAGAAGTCGAACTCAGATTAGGTCTTGCGCAGGCTCAACATGCACGGTAGCGAGGTCATCGTGACACCAATGCCGTCCATATAAATTACCGAGCATGCATGAGGCTATTAGCACCACGTGATCGCCACATGAAAGCTTCAATTTTATTCTAATTAATTTCATTTAAAATTGCCAGCCATACTATTGAGGCAATAGAATACATTGCTGAGAAAACTATGCTCTTAAGAGTGGTAATTTAAAGTTCCGAAAAACGGACTGACCGACTGAGCAGAGATAGGTTGCCCGTGGACACAACCTTCACTTTGACAAGTCAAAAATGTTAAAATGTAACAAATGACATCATTCGCTTCACAAAACTTCCAAATAGAGGAATAAAAACAACATAATTGCAATGCATGGCCAAGTATAAAAGAACGCAGAAAAAGTGAGGTATGCCAAAACCGTTCGCTGCAGCGTGATGCGACCTTTCAACTTCTTAATGATGCGAGCGCGACGAGCTGCTTCACGGCTCCCCTAGTTTGAAAGCAGCTCCGGATAAGTGAAAGCCTTCAAGCATCCCATGCCCGAGCTCTGGAACTCATTCTCTGGCGAGTGTTGAATAATAAACGCGCACAGAAAAATAATTCTAACAATAAATCCAAGGGATGCGAATATTTTTATGAAATCTAGATACTTGTTCAAGAGCCAGAACAGTGAAACGAACTTTAATGATCTGACTTACAAAAAAATATTTTTCATCGTCTATAGAAGTCCAAGTCGTCGGGTTAGCTCTAGCAGGTTTAAGCTCATGGTATCCATGGACAGCAAATTATAACTAAAAATAAAATAAAATTCAAACCTTTTAGCTGCATCCAACTTGTCCATTTTATCTAATTATGTATTTACGTTCAAACATTACATTTCAGGTTTAGCAATTTTCTCCACATTCAATAGGTTTGTAAATGAGGACTTCAAACACCAACACATATTCCCAAGGTCAGGTGGCTAACACACATACACACGCGCACACTAACGTCATTAAGTATAATATTAATTTGTTCTGAACGAATTGTTTTTTTTCGACAGATGGGAGTGCAAGCAACATCGAGCGTTATCAGACTAGCGATCGTGATGGCATCGTTACTCTGGTCAAGCTCAGCTCAGCAGTCCAGTCTCGATGGACACAATCCAGCAGAGCGCTGGACTTGGGGAAGACGCGAAGGATCTTTCCAACCGTCAACTGAATTCGGAAGAAGAGCATCGCAACGGCAGTACCTGTCGCCAGTTCGGACCGCGCGTGTCGTAGGAGAACAAGAGCCCAGATCAGAAGGAGCGACGTCGTTCAAAAGTATTACAGCCACGACTTTCCCTTCGCCGCTACCTGCTTTCAATCTCTTGCCCGTACACGATCAAGAAAAGTCAATCAATCCCTCTAAACCACCAATGCGGCCATCTCCAGTGGACACCACACCCCTCATTAACCAAAACTTTGAAAGTCATTTCGAAGTCATTGGACGCCAACTTGGAGCGCAAGATCAATTTCAATCCCGCCCAGAACCAACAATAATTACGCCAGGAGAATTCCCATATCCGTTCAATGGCAAAGCAGTGGATCTCGGGGATGGCACGAGCGTCGGTGGACCAATTCCAGACGACACACTGTCAATCGACGTCAGCCCGGTGAGCAACGCGCACACAAAAGGACAATTCAAACCACCGAAGGTTTCCGACGACCACGATACACGGTACACGACACTCGACAAGCTATTCGACAGTCGACTGCCCACCGAACTACCTGACCCTCGCTCACTAACCCACGACGTGCTCGGAGGACTACATCCCGATGAAGTTTTTTATGCAGACAAAGACCTCGTCATCATTAAGGGCGGAGGATTCCATTCCGGCAACTCACAAAACCTTGGCGGATTCAATGATTTGGAACGCGAGGCACAAAACCCTGTAAGACCAGCACCGGTTGGAAATGAATTGGGAGAAGCCAACGACCCTCGAGGTACAAACGTACGTCCAGATGAGAAATTTTCGAGGGTGCCACTGCCTCTGAGATTTGTGAACGGCAACATTCCAGTTATCGTCAGTCCCCCCAGCAGCGGCCACTTTGGCACTCCAAATCGGCAATTCAGGCCACTTCATCATGCGTCCTTTAGGCCCCTATCCCCTGAGACTGCAAGTCAAGTAAAATACGCGACCGCATCTTCACAACAGTCGGAGACGTTCATATATCCTACGTCTTCTTTGCAAAATCTAGATGAGGACTACTTGGTGGCAGAACCTTCTGTTGTCTCTGAATTGAAGGTTATGCCTCCGGCAAAACGATCAACAGATAAAAACGTGATAGCGTACCACTACCAAACCCGGGGCAGTGGAAGTAACATGCACTCAATAGTAAACTATTCAATTTTACGCCCTGAAAACCAAAACAACAAACAACAAGACCAGGGAGAAAACCAGCGTCAAAACCCCAACATCATCAGGAAAGAGCCAGTGAAGACCGTTACCAGGCCAGTTCAACCAAGTAACGGCGGACAATCGACACCGATATCAGAGATCGAAGGTGAAGACTTTTCAGTACCCGCCGGCGGACCTCTGCTCAACTTGGTCCCAGACATTCAAACTCCCCGACAACCACCAACCCATCAGCCCGCGAGGCCAATTTTCACTCAACCGACCGTCTCCTTGGAAGGAGATACGGACGTAAACTTCTTACCACCTCTGCCTCCAGTCAATACACAAGCACAATTTCTGGGTAATCAGCAGGGCGCTGTCGTTCCGTCCGCAGTATATCCAAGTTCAAGTTCAAGAAATGTACCCTTGACCTTTCCCGAGACACAACCAGCACGGCTAATCAGCACGAGCAGGGGTCAGCCAATTTCACTAGCGGACGACACGCGGGTCAACTTCGTCCAGCCTCTACCGGCCATCAACCGCCAAGCGGAAGTAATCGCGCACCACCCGATCGTCAAACTCCCGACTGGTGAATCGGACCCGCGAGTGACCAGACTGAATCCGGTGCTAACACAACAGCTGGCACCGGGGCGGCCAACGGTGAGACGAACAAATGCATCGCCCGGCCAGAAGAGATTCATGGAGCCAAGGAGGAGGCAGAGCACACGACAGCGTCAGACCCCAGTACTGTAGTCGAGAGGAACATGCTAGGAGACTTGATCAGAGATGTTGGCCATGTCCCGAATTTCAGTTGTGAATATTTCGTTAAACGTACAAAGTGGACTAATTTAATGAGTGTAAACAGTAGTTTGTTATTATGTGCTGGCTAGTGATAGTTAGTCAAGCTGTACAAATAGCTTTGTTTGTAGATGTACCTATAGAATATCTCTAGCATGTTCGTCACTCTAGTAAGTTATGCCGTTTGTTGTTAATTATAGACGATTGCAATAATTGTGGTTGAGAATAAAAATGAACAGTATTATCCCGACAATTGATTCAACAGCTTCAGGCTAAACTGGATATTCAAAGCACTTTTACCGCAGAGAATGAGGGGAAAAAGTGCCGTCACTTTTTCCTCTCAGTGTGCAGCAGGAAGCACTAGCATCAGAACGTCACTATTGCAGCGCTCGGAGGAAGTTCTTATCATTATTATCTAACGAAGAAATCCCGCCAGGATACATAATAACTTGAAAACATTTTCAATGCATAATCCCGGCAATCAATACGAACGATAAATAAATTAATATAGGGAAGACTGTGTCAGGAAGAACTCAATGAGACAGGAAATGTACACGTTAAATACTTCACTCTTTGATTATTAGTTGACACTGGCGTAGCGAAAAAGAGGTTGGCCTTCAGCAGCAACCGTCGCTCCACAAACAAGAGCGACCATTGAAGAAACCACAACACGAGGAAGCCTCTGAATACGTCTTAATTACCGTGTTAACTGCAAGCCCTTTAAGGACGGCGCTCAAACGACATCATTTTGGCTGTTCGAGAAACATTTATAATCCAATCTGAATTTAACCTTTCGCTGCAAAGCGAATTATAAGGAATTTGACCAAAAAAATTCAAGACTTAAACAAATTTTTTAACTGGACAAATGTAATGAGGAGCTTTACGCAGTTCGGGAACAGAAGGCGGAAGGCAACATGTCATCACAATTTCGTAGAATCAAACATCGAATATAGTTGGAACTGTTGAAAAATAATTACAATTTTAAATTGTGATTACTTGCTAGGTTTTGGGCATACAAGGCATGTACTCGGCTTCAAAAGGTTCAATCAATGAGATTAAATATTGCTTCTTGTTCGACTGGAGAACAACGGGCCACGGGTATCTAAAAATCAATCAACAATGACTCATGTTATCAAATCTTGAAGAGAAAACACGTAAGCGTAACGAGAGCCGAGCACCATGAAGCATGCCATCAGTGCGACCTTGAACGCTACGGCCGCAGCCTCGCCGGCCTTACATGCACAACGAGAGCGATCCAGACGCTGCCTCTACTGACGCCGCAGGAGTGGTTCACCTCGCAGGATTAACGTGGAAAAAGTTCCCACAGCAAAAATGTCGGTTGACTGAATCACCTCGCAAGATTTTCAGAGAAAATTCACGCTTAAAATGTCGCCAGACTGAATCACCTCGCAGGGTTAACGTAACAAAAACTAACGACAAAAATGTCGGTTGATTGAACCACCTCGTAGGATTCGCAAAGAAAAGCCACGGCAAAAAATATTGGTAGACCGAGTTACCTGGAAGGATTAACGTAGAAACGGCGCAAAATAGATCACGACTTGCTTAAGCGTTCCAAAACCTACGTCAACTACTTAACGTCAAGACAATTTACTACCAAACATTTCCGGACTGACTATCTTTGAGAATTTGTCTACAGTAAAATTTAGAAGAAAAACCGTACGATAATTAGCTTTCAATACCGCCACAATTGCTGGTAGTTTCCACAACCTGTGAGCTCGTATAACAAAGCTTGGAGGTTCGTTTATATCCTACAACTAAGCAAAGCCATCATACAACTTTTGTGGCGAGCCAATTGCAACGGGTAAAGGCTTAGTAGGCACACCTCGTCGCAAAATAAATTCTAGAAAGCAAAAAAAAAAAAACATCGTAATTTAAAAAGATTTTCAAACTTAAAAATTATACAGGAAATTTGATCACAGATTCGAAAAAAGAAGCGAAGGTCAGTGCAGAAGAACACAAAGATCATGAGATTCGATTATTAGTTAGAATGTCAGATGATGTGTCGAGCAAAGCGTGGGCTAAGAAGGATATCAAACCCTTTCGGAGAGGTTTGATTTTATAGTCCGACGCATATCAGCTATCAACAAGTATTTTTATGGTCGTGCAGTAATCGAATTATGATCAATAGAATTGAGGTGGGCGTTGTTCATTTTTGATTACTCTATGAAGGTTCAAGAATTAATAGACATATTAGACTTTTCAGTGTTAGTGATCGTCTATGCTCCTTCTCAAAAATAAATTGATGGCACCATCATAACGAATTTAAATCTATTTTTAAAATTTCACGAGCTTCATGAGCAGAACCAAGTTCAAACTAAACCAAAGTTACGTCCATCAATTGGCAAATACGCGGATAAATTCAACCAATAGGTCAATCACTAATTAATTATTAATCTATAAAAATTATTAGTCATATATTAATGCTGAAATTATTATTTCTTAATATTTTGGTACTCACCGGTGTTGATGTCGTTCTCGAAGGTGACGTCCGTGATTGGTTTGTCGTGTAATCTGAGGGGGAAAACAATACGTGTTACATCGCCTTACATTACCCTGATGAATTGCGGTGTTAGAATACAGTATATCATGATGTATGCTATAGAGCTTGCTGTTTTTGAGGTAGTGATGGCATGTTATGTAGTGATGAGCAGTTTTGCCAGCTATTTTCCTGCTAGATCTAGCATAATTTCAATGCATTTAGTGGGACTAAATAAGCTTTAGCAGGAATAAATGAGCTTTAGCAGGGAAATGTATGCAAAATGATCTTCTAAGCTACAAAATTTGAATATTTAGTGTATTTTTGCTTGAAAATGACAGGTTTTAGCTTGAAAGTCATTGAAAGAGTTGGCAGCACTGGTGATGAGAGACCTTCGGAGCAGGCTGTACGAGGTAATGCTTAAAAAATTAGTTCAATAACATTGATGCCCCATAACTTGGTCAGGAAATTATGAAGCATTACGAGGACACTGGGCAACAAATGAGTCGTGCAAAAAGTCAATCGTTGGGATATCTAAGAGAAAAACTTATGAATTTTGTATCCAATGTCCTCACGGTACGGAAAAAGTAACAGAATTACAAGATTTCAAAATTGATTAAGCTCAGTGAAAAGCCTAGCACAGAGGAAAAACATTGTTTTTTTATAACAAATGCACGAATAATCAAGCAGTGAGGTAGCGCACAACCACAGCTGGTTATGAGCAATGACTTATTAAGAGCAAGTAGTCATATGCAACGACTTAACGAAATTAACACAAGACATACGTACGCCACGTCTAGTCAAGGTCAACCCTAGTTATGAGTAATCACTCATCAAATACAACAGCTAGTCAGTCACTTATTTACGTGTCCAGCCCTCAGCACAACAACTATACCGTCAAGTGGGGTGACTTTGGCCACCGGGGGTGACTTCGGCCACCACTACAACAGAAACAAATGGCAGTTAAACAAAATAATATACGTTGGCCAGTCACTCCAAGCACTTTGGCCAACATTTATTATTTTGTTTTGCTGCCATTTGTTTCTGTTGTGATTGTGGCCGAAGTCACCCCCGCGGCCGAAGTCACCCCAATTGACGGTACTCACGAACGACCACTCGTCCACATATTAAACACTAACCTTAAGTAAATGGTGATGGCAAGTATAGCGGCCTCCCAGTAGAACTCGTTACTTCTGAGCACATCTTCGAGCCTGAGCAGCTGCACGTACGAACGCAGCGTCATCTTACGCATGCAGTACGTGTGGAAGTCAAACTGATCTTCTATGATCTCCGTGAAGTGCTGCTCACAAATATTCCTTGTTTAACCGATATGGAAATGTTGGTACGCGAGGTTATCAGTGATAATGTACAGCGTCATTCATTGAGGAAAAATGTATTAGAAAGACAGGAGGAATTATTTGTAAGAACAGTGTATTGAGAAACATTGTGTTGTGGCGATTCTAAGTCCATAACTTAGAACAGGCATATGAAAAGAAAACAGATTAACAATGATGACTTTTGAACTCGCCGAAGAATATACAATACAAAACTGACTGTCAGGCTAATCACTCCATGGTAGTAAACATCTCGTAGAAACAACACAGATAAACAAAAATAATTAGATGGACTAACTCAACGGTAGTAAACATGTCATAGAAACAGCAGGGGTAAACACATAGACTAACTCTGTCGACTTGATGACACATCTTGAGCGCCATGCCGTACTGGCCGAGTCTGTAGTAGGCGTGCGCACAGTCGTTCTGGAACCACATGCACTGCATCTCGTTCAGGTTCTCCATAGCACTCACGCCTTCCTGCTCACACACAACAATACACTATAATATTCACTATAATATTAATGTTAATGTTAACTATAAAATCAACGTTGATGGAAGCCAAAAGTTTTTCTGGAAGCGAGTCACGTTTTACTTACAGGAAACATAGATATTGTCTCGCAGATGTTGTCCACGCTGCACAAGCCTAATTTTATTAGCCAAGTGCCACTTGTTAGAATTAATTTGATATCGGTAGCATTCGGATGTAGTTAAGTGAAAAAAAACTGATAATGATGAAACAAAAATGTAGCAACTTACTTAAAATACTTCCACACACTTTTCCGTTAACTTAATAGTTAAAGCAAATTACAAATTAAGGACGAGTGAATCCAAGATTAAACATATTATCCCTGAAAGTCAAATTTAATAGCCTAAGAGCCACGGAAAACAGCAGCAGTGATGCAATTACCACCAATTGTACTCTCAGTTCTTCAGTTGTACAGGAAAGTTCAAGCAATATTGCCATGTTACTTGCCAACTCTTCACTCCGTAAACTCGGAGCAAAATATGGAATTCAGTCTCATTTTCTTCCATATTAGCTGAAAATTTTGTAAATTTTTAAGAGTGACTAGGTATAATTTGGTGCAATTTTGTTACGTTGTCATGACATAATCTAGTTAATTTGGAGCAATGAAAGAATGATTTAAAGACAGACTCGTGTAAATTTGTAATAATTTATCAATAATGTCAAGAAAGAACCGATTGAATTATGGAACCATCTTGCAACGTTCCCAAAAACGCCCCGGGTTAATTCGTTTTAATTCAACAAAGCTTTCAAGACAGAGCACAGGAGTGACTTATAAGCCATCTAGCAATGTTCCCGATTCCGCCCCGGGTTAATTCATTTTAATTCAACAATGCTTTTAAGGCAGAGCACCCGAGTGAATTATGAGCCATATCGCAACGTTCCCAAAACAGACCCGCGTGAACTTGGAGCACATGTCCTGCGCGGCCTGGATCAGGTTGGCAGAGAGCATGAATGACGCTGTCTTGCTGTTGACATAGCGGTCGGCGGTGTCCAGCGTCTGGGCCTCTGTCACGGCGTCCACGGCGCCTAAGAGGTCTCCTGCCCTCTGTAAACAATACACACCTTAAATTCCATACAATATTAATTCTCTATTATCTCGTCGATGCCAGGGAGAATCTGAGACTAAATCTAGAGATGGATATGTCGTTCATGAATAGCTTTGCAAGACAACACTGTGCGTGTCACCAGGAAGTGTAGGTAAAAATAACTTTCTCCATCAACATAAACTCAAAATCTGGCATGGGTTTAATGAAACCAAAGAAATAATTAACAGAACGAGAATTCATCTAAAAATTCAAGATACCACATAAAAGATGTTCATAAAAAAAGCAGATGCTTATTAATTGGAAACGGATATACTAGAAAACCGTGATGTTACAGCCCCAAGTAATGAATTTCGACAGTGAAAAAACTTCTCACCTTGAGGATATCTCCCTTGATGATATAGAGCTCAATGAGGGTGGGGGTGTGGTCGAGGGCTCTCTGTAGGAGCTTGAGTGCCGTCTCTGTGTTGTTCAAGTGACTGTGGTGCTCGGCGAGGTACATCAACACAAACAATATACACGCCGGCTCCTTGTCGCTACTCTCATCTGCCAAAATTAGAAATGAACCAGTGTGAATCCTTAGACATTATAAAAAGTATTAAGGAATTGTTGTTGTAATTGCCCATCCTGGCAGTGGCGACTAGGGAGGGGGGGTGATAGATCAGTTTTTCCGGGCACTCGGTGCCACTGGTAGTTCTACGACCATCACTGGCTCGCTGACCCGCCAGAACCATTTGATTGCATTACACAACACCCTGGACAAGCCAGGTACTCATTTATCAACCAGAGTTGGATGAATGGCTGAGTTGACCATGAGCTGAGCTTCCCGGTAGAACTTGTCCTCAGTGGGACTCGAACCCGGGCGCTGGGTGCGAGAGACAGTCTCACCACTGCACCATCACAGCTCGTACATTAAGGAATTGTGTCAGGCAGTGGAGTTCTTATAGAAAGTTTTAGACACTATTTATTTTATATTAGCAAAGATGCTCGTGTTGCACTTGCAACCACACTAGTCCTTCAATACTGTAATGACATAATTTATTTTTGACATCTAGACTAATAAGTAATTAATTTGTTCTCATTAAACTCTACAAAACTACTCAACAAAAATCTACCGTCACAATTCGCAAACAATTATTGGATGGTTCTCACACAAGAACGATATCCACCAAACCTCACAAAGTAGCTATGGGTTCGTTAGTTGACAGTTCACGTACCAAAAATTCAACTCACCACTAGGGTCTAGGCGGCCACAGGTCTCTAGATTATGAAGGTATCTGTACATGAGGGTCTCGAGGAGCTCAGCTTTGCCAGGCTGGTCGTAGAGAGACTGCAGGTCCGTGAAGAGCGGCGGCACGCCCTTCAGTAGACACTTCTGCAGGTACGGCTCCAGCAGCGCCTCCAGCACCTCGCCCGTCGCGTAGTTCAAGGGAAGACGGCGAGGCACGTGAGCTCGCGGGAATCTAAATACAGTCAAAACAGATATACAGAGCAATCAACAGATACCTAACATTTATAAATAAAAAAAAACTAATTTGAATTAGATGGTGTATGTTTTCACACAACAAAGAGTACTTTCTATATACCAGGACAAAAGACCATGCATAACATTTATTACATAAAACTATTTCAAATTACATGTTATAGGTTTTCACACAACAAAAAGTACTTTCTATATAACAGGACAAAAGACCACTGTGACCACTCACTTGAGGCTATAATCCTTATAAAGCGCTAATTTCTGTTCCACAGTTGAAAGTTCTAAGGCTTTCTCCAATTTTAGATAATAATCCTTATTTTCATGATTCCGGTCTATTAAAACTCTATAGAACTTTTCCGCTTCTGTTGGTCGATTGAGAGCAAGTAACAATTCTCCTGCAGAATGAAAGAGAACAGGATTAGCCAAGTCATGCCTGAAACATTGATAACATTATTTGCCAGTATAACAGAAGATCAATTAGAAAACGAGTTTCATTACCAGGTTAAAGGTACAACACATATAATTCATCCAGCACAGCATGGAAAATAAATTCCACTTAGATACGGTATATATATATATATATATATATAGACAACAAAATGAATAATATACGTTTAAAAATTACTTTTTAAAGGCAGCACTTCTAAAGAATCCAGTGTCTCTAATGTTAAAGATGTACAATGAATTTCTCATTTTATTTTCGAATATTAAAAAAAATAATTTTTCAAATTTTTTTAACATATACCGTAAACTTTTTTTCAAAATGATTTATTCTGTCAATTGATTCATGCATTGCCTCTGACCACACAAGTGTGCAAAGTTTTGGATCAATTGGACAGGTAAAAGTGTGTCAAATATCAGTTATAAGATTTGTAGCCGAGAAAATCATTTTTCAATTTTTTTTAATATTGAAAAAAATTGTTAATTTTTAAAATTATTTATTTTGTCATTTGATTCATGCATTGTCTCGAACTTTACGCAAGTGTGCAAAATTTCAGATCGATGGGATAAGTAGAAGTGTGTTAAATTTCAATTAGAAGATTTGTAGCAGACAGACAAACAGACAAGTAGTGAAGTTAAAGAGAAGTGTTGTAAAATTAATAATCATTCTGTCAGTAAAGAACAAAAGAAAGTTTCATTACCCAAAAGTCTAAACCTCAACGTCTGCAGAGGTGCAAGAACCATTGCTTACCATGGGTTGTCCAACTATATAGCAGCCTAAGTGCACATAGCAGGTAATTTATTGTCTGTGATTGGTTGCTTTAGCACGAAAAACATCCAGTGACCGGCTGACAAACATCCAAATTTTGAACTATTTTTTATATTACATTTCAAACTGACCTCTAATTTCAAGGGATGTGACCTTATCACAAATAGACTCCTTATAAGTATTGATGTGTTCTAGCGCCTCTTCCAAAAGACCAGCTTCCCTCATGACCATGTTTTGGTAGAGGAGAAGTTCGCTGTATTCATAGTCATAAGTGTTTTTCTGAGGAATAAAATGACATTTTAATAATTCTATTAACACAAATTAATCTCTACAATAGTAAAACGTGGAATAAATATCAAAATTCACAGGCTAATTTTGGCATGTTTACCAAAGAAAATGAGACTTAAATCAATTGCTTTATCAAGTCTTGTTTCAATTCTTACTCACTAAATTGTCCCTTTTTACATCAAAATATTGTCAAGACATGTTACTTACCTGCATAGTTTTTCTGAATTCCTCTAAGATCTTCAGAGCTGAACTATAATCTTTGAGGAGATGGAAGGACATTGCATAGCCTATCCAAGACGCACGATGTGTGGGACGTAATTCAAAAAGCTTGTACCGAGTTTCCTGAAAAAGCAATTGGCAATAAAATCACATGAACAGAGCATTCTGAAAATACAATATCTATCAATTAAAGCTACAAAATACATGCATAAGTATTGTACACTACACAATCCAGTGGATGCTAATCAAGTTATCAGCAAATAGATATTTTCTAATATTAAATAATCAGAATTAATCACCAATAAGTACATTTGAGAACTAAATAAGGGCCATTTATTTTAAGCATAAAATAGAGAATATTTGTAAGAAATTGAAAAAAAGATAAGCTGTACAGAATTTTAAAATTTTTCTACAGTCATAACCAAATAAGAGTGCAGGCAAAAGTTCAGATTACAAATAGCACTCACTCGATAGCCTTCCAAGTCCCTCATCTGAATCTGGAGCAAGCTCAGATCTCTGAGAATTTGGAGATTATCCTTATCCCACTTGAGGGCATTGCGGTAACACTTGATGGCTTCATCATACTTCTTATCAGACCGTTGGAGCAGACCAAACACATGCCAACAGACATGAGACTTCAAGTTGTTCCGCAGACCTTGTCGCACCAGCTGGTAAGCTTCCTCCTTACGGCCCAGACAGTTCAGTGTCAGGCCTTTCATTGCTTGTGTCTCTGTAATATCAACAGGTGCAAAACATTACAGAAATTCTACCAATTTAAACTTCAAATTTGAGTTGTATGTTCTACTTGTATATATATATAATCAAATTTGAACAAGAAGATTCAATCAAAATGAACAGATTAGATATTATGTATATAATCAAAATAAACAAGAAGATGATTAATAAAAAGCATGCTCTGGTCTTCAATCAAACTTGCATAATATACTCGATTATATACATCAAAAATCCTACAATTTGGCATTAAAGGCCACATAGTCAGACACATGCAAAAAATAACAGTAATTGAATAAAATTAATAATATTATCCAATTTGACACTCTTGATCAACTAAATCTTTCATTCAATTTAATGAAATGCCTCCTCAAACTTTACCTCCATGATTGGGATAATTTTGTAAAACTTGTTTTGCAAACTTCAGCCCATTTTTGTACTGCTTCTGCTCATAGCATTTCTGCAACAAAATTGTAGGTTAGTAAGCAAGTCCATATATAAACAAATTTTATCCTGACACACAATTTGCATATAGGAATAAAATGATTGATAATGAATGAATCATGAAATGGTTCAAACATATCTTTATGTTAAAAACAGAAGATTTTAATACCTTTAGTTTGACATTATTCAGAGATTAAAAGTGAGCGTAGAAATGTTTCATAGTTATTATTGTTATATATTTCTTTATTAACTGAATACTAGCAACACTATTCCAGTATTCCATTGGCACTAGCTACTACCTATTAGAATGGAATTCTGGCATTCAGATAGACTGAACAGAGCCAAAATCTTAGTGAGCACAGAGCAATTAAGATTTAAGACAACCCCAACAGAGTACCAGTGGCAGTACAGACTGTACAGCTACAGGCTATGAAATAACAACATATTACATGTACATATAATTCATTCAAAGTAACTAAAAGTACAAGAAACATAGTATTTTTGTCATATTTGCATAATTTTTGCAAAAACTAATCTTTAAACCATATATATTTGCATCAAATTTCAAATATATTTTTCCATGCTAGGGTCAAGGCTCAAGGAGTCAATGTTGCTTAAATTACCAGTGACAATATGACAGTGATAAATAATTAAATTATTTATTAATGTACCTACTAATAGGTACAAGCTTGCAAGTGAGAGTGCGATATTTTAGTGAAAAGTAGTATTTGTCCATTTTTGTTTGGAACTATCAACTAAGACAACTATGATATTTTAGTATGAAGTCCAATTTTTTTATTCCTGTGTCTTATTGAGATCAAAATATCATTAGTAAAGAACTACAGATCACTCCATAAGTGCACTGTACTGTCCACATGTTCTGAATCTCAAACCTAAAATCAACATCAGAAACCTCTTACAACTTAAGCCTCAAGCTAATAGCCACAGCTCTCATTGTGTCAACTTGTCAAGTGATTGATCATTGTTTTATTGAGCTTTAAAACTTGCAAGGAAAATACATCAAGCCTGAGCCTAAGTTTCATGAGATGCAATTTTGAATTTGACACCACACTAACCACAGAAAGTCAGAAACCAGAGTGAAAATCTAAACCACAAGAACTATGCATACAGCAGTTGAGACCAAAAGTCCAAAACCAAATTTAAAATTGCCAAGACTTCAAAGTTCAAACACATATTTATGATATTATCAACAATATAACATATTTATACCTAATAGTCTGCTACCCATTGTAACTATCATCTATGTAATTGTATTTTAAAATCATTTGCCCAAAGTGGGTGACATACCAGTATTCTCTTAAACAAAGAATTTTCCTTGGTAGGAAGGACTTGATTTGAGGGATCCATTATATCAAAACCCTAATACGTCAAGTTAATAATTTTTGATGCCCCGAAATATTAGATCAAGACAGCAAGACAAGTCATAACACAGTAAATTGTCGGACAACTCCGCGTGGTGCCGGCCCAAGATGGCGCGTGAGACGAGCTGTGCGTGTGACGTCACTAAAATTTCGATGTAAACAAACCAAAATCATATGGTTTTCGATTAGTCATAGAGAGGGAGATTTTCTATCAAAAATTTACTTTAGCTTTAGCGAGTAGAATATAGAACAATTTTAATATATTCAATAAATAACTGCAGAATTGAGTCAAAGTTGATGCGTTCACGTCAAAGTAGGAAATAACATTGATCGCACCTGCAGTCTGAAACATAGCATTAGAATTATTTTAATTCTTTTAAATGTCATGTCAAGCCTGTAACACCTTTTACTTGAAGAACATATAGATATCATTCGTATGAATGAGCATATTGTCAACTTGGAGTATTCGCTCTTTCAAGCCAAATATTTCATGCATCAAAATCCGAAATTATCCGTCATGCACCTCACGGGCATGGTTGAATTAATACTATACTGTATTAATGTATTAATTCAACCATGCCTCATGGGTATGCCGATGGCCCGTTAAGCCAAAGCTCTAATGGGCGGTGATAATGAAGAGCGTAGCTGGAAAAAGAATGAGAAAGAAGGTATGAAAATGAATGAGAAAATAAAAAGGATGAACACTCTAACTCTGTATCAGATGAAAGAGTTGCCAAAGTAGGGCAGGGTGGCCTAGTGGTAACAGTTCTGAGTACCAAGATTGGCGCAGAGAGGTGCGGGTTATATCCCAGCTCAGTGCGTCAGTTTCTGGTCAGAATCGGCAAGGAGGCCGGGCGGCTAAGCACAGCAGAATTGTAGCAGTGAGTTGCGAGTTCGAGACCGCAACAAGCTGTGAATATTCTGTAATGTTAAGAATCGGCGGCAGGCCTACGGCTTACTAAACGCTGAAACCGCTATTATTTATAAATGTATGAATGATGGTAGAAGAGTTGGGGACTTGCTGAGGGCATGGGCACTTTATGATACCGGACTACGTACAGGTGGACTGGTACGATAAAGGATGAGTGTTATGGTTCAGTTAAAGGTGGAATGTAGGGAGTAAGAGCGATAACAACATACTATGATGAAGGTGATTCTAAATGAGGGATGCTAGAGTAATGGAGTTGAGTTTGAAACAAAAAGTTTTGAGCGCATGCAATGATCGTGGGTTTGACTGAGGGAGCAACTGTAACTGTGATTGAGAGATATTGCGCGAACGTGTGGAGACTGAGAGAATAAAATGTGTCAATTGTGGAGTTCTGAAGAGTGGAGGACGGAGAAGGGGGCCGGAGGGTAAAGTTGTTAATCGTGCCAAATTTTAGAATTGTTGTCTCTATTATTTTAGGATGCATATCTTAAATGGGTATCCTCCTGGGCCCAGTGTTTACAATTCAGCAGTACCAGGATTGGCGCAGAGAGGTGGGGGTTCGATCCCAGCTCTGTGCGCCAGTTTCTGGTCAGAATCGGCCAGGGGGCCGGGCGGTTAAGCAAAGCAGAATTGGAGCAGTGAGTTGCGAGTTCAAGCTCACAAGTTCGCAACAAGCTGAGAATGTTCTGCGATGTTAAGAATCGGCGACAGGCCTACGGCCAACTAAACGCTGAAACCGCTATTTTTTATCAATGTTCAAAACAAAAGATACGAATATGATTTTGTTTCTTATTAAATTGCAATGAATTCTTGCTTACTGAATATTCTTTTAAGCCTAGGGAGATGCAAATTCTATTTAGGGTTTTTCGAACAGACGAATGTTGACCACTTGGGCGGCCGGTCCAAAGGTCTGACCGGAGGAGGCGGGAACCCTAATTCCAATTCCTACCAGGAGTCCTATGAGGTCCCTCGCTCTCAGACATCGTTCACGAGCTCGGAAACGCGCGTAGCTTAATGTGGTTTCAAGTTGACAGGCCAGATTGATTCGTCAAAGCTGCTAGCGCATTAGAATATTCAAGTAATGAAATGGTTGTTTTCATTTTTTTTTCCAGCTTGAACGGATTGTATATGCGCGTAAGCTACGATTCTGTAATTTATATACGTCGCAAGATAGCAAAATATGTGATGCGATCAAGAAATTTTTTACCCATATATATTTAAAGCGGAAGCTACCAATGCCAGGAATAGTAGGGACCTCCCGATATTTCTCAAAACTTACTCACCTTTCAGAAATCAAGAGAATGAAGCTTCTAGACGTCGCCAAGGAAATTGATTTGCTCAAGATCAAAGTAGGAAATCCTGGACTTTCAGGAAAAACTACTTAAAATATGCATGCCCCCATTACAATTTTTGAACGGGACCTGAATAAGCGGGACTTTATGAGCGGGTAAAAGAAAGCAAGTCAAAGTCATCGTGTGTAATATTTATATAGAACAATGTGACGCCTAACATAATACTCCTTATAATTGTAATAGAGTTCTTTACTCCACTTAAAGCCACCAAAATTTTCGCGCAATTGATAGCGTATATGAAAGCTTTTTATTTAAAACACAGAATACAGGATTTTCTAGAGCAATAATTGGAAAAAGCCATCGGCGGATCACATAACATGCGAATTAGTACAAAGATCAAATACGCTCAAGGCTCATCAAAGTAATCCATCGTAAAGTTAGCATGTGAGACCAGGGCATGAATCGAGTATCACGTTTTTTACAAATTTTCCCCTGCGCAAATAAAATGATAGCAAATGACATCTTTTCTGAGCTACAAGAACATAGCACTATGGAATATACCAATTAGAATTTCCAGTTCAGTTCAACATCAAACAGATTTATAAATATAAAAGAGACTTGCGATGATATAACACAAAGTGCATACACGTCTTAATACGATAAAGACTTTGACAGCCAAGTAAAGTTAACAGAAAAATACTCATCAATAACAAACATAAGCGCTACGCCCGTTAGAGATTCACTGGAAATATTAAAAAATTCTATCTAACTTAGGACAGGATCTAGACCGATGGTTTTCAACCACGAGTTAGGACATTGAAGCAAAATAGGTTGCAATTCGTTGCATAATAATGCACACAAAACAATTGGATGTCCAAAGAAGTGCTCCATAATGCGAGTGCCTCCAGATAGTGCGGTCATCGCTAGTGGCGAGCGGTACATTTTCCATGTGGTATACTTCCGAGGTTCTGAGAGATTTTTATTATATCTTTCTTTCTACTACGAAAATTATATCTGCCTAACAAAAGATGTTCTGGCAAGAATTCACAACTCTTGCAACACGCCGACCATTTGGTCCCAGCACATCACCATCAAATTCAAACAGTGCATTCGATGCTCAAATTACTACCGCTTTGACGAGACAAAATTCAACTAATATAAACATTGGAATGGCTAGAATGCGGTAAAAGTTTGTGCCCGCGGCGACTGTAGAGCACCTCAAAAGGTAATTGATTACAAGAGGGCAGGGGACCATTTAACCAGGCATGAAAGAATTACGAGAATACGGCCTCAATTAAATACGTTACCAGTTAAGTAGAAATGCGGGAGAAGTTAAAATAAAAAATCATCAAAATGGTAGGACCTGATTAAAACAAGCGTCTAGTGAAGACATAAATCATATGAAGAGACGTATACCAGTATTACTGACGACCATTGCTGATTTATTCTAAATAACAGCAGGTTACAAGGTTATAACAAATATTATAGAAACTATATTACAGGTTTAGTAGGGAATGACCACGATTTAAAGTGCTGGTCCACAACAGAAATAAAACTTAGGCTCAACACCAATCGCCGTAATACAGAAAGCCTAGCATTAGGAACTTACGAATTAAAACATCAGCTGCAACCGAACCGTTCCATCATGACTTGTCCAAAAACATTTTTTATACTCTCAAATCTATTAACTGAGAATTCAGCTTAATTTTAATTGAATTCTCATTAATTGTAAACAATTATCCTGAGTACAGGTAACTCGAAATCTGCTTGATGAATATCTTATTCATTTATTTGTTCTTTTTTTTTGTGGCGGTTGAGATTGCTAAAAAATCCAGATTTCTATGAAAGGTTCACCAGTCAATAAACTTAACATTACAACGCATGACACTGAGCTCAAGTAATAATTTTCACCAAGGCCAATTTTATAAGACAAGAACATGAAGCATCATTTGAAATGTATATGGTTAAAAACCTTTTACTTCTATACCGTGTAATTTGTTCAGAAAATATTTATACACACGCTAAGAACATAATACGCGTAAAATAAAATACGTGATTTAGGTAGGTGGAATATCAGTAGAATGGAACATAAAAACAAAGTAGACAATTTTCATGTAGGAAAATGATAGATTCTATAATCACAGCCAGAGGCAAAACACAGTAATAGTGATAGCTGAGTTTATCTTTATTCATCCTAAGGAGAATAGATAATGAAATAATACCTCATTTAATAGGTATTTCACGCTGCCTTCCAACGATACTTTAAGAAGCATCTGTTTGGCTTATGGAATGCGCTAGATTCATATGCTTCCTTAAATGAAAATGGAAGAACGATTACAAAACAGACACAAAATCTGGAAATTTAAATTACATAAATTGAAATAATTACTTTTAATGCCAAACAAGTTAGTTATTCGTGTGACTAGAAATGAAACCATCATCAATAGACATCCTAAAATATCATAAAAAATGCAAAGAAAATAATTTTCTGGAAGGAAAAATGAGGCTACGACTAACCAATTGTACACCAGCAACACGTATCTTCAGACCGCACGCGATCAGCAGGATCGGTGTAGTAGGCATTACGAGGAAAGGAAATGTCTGAATGTAAGTCTCCAACATACACTTCAGCAACGAATAATTTCAACATACCAGTCGAGAGCAAACGCTATCACAAGCAGTAGCTGCCACAGGATCACACCCAGCATCACATAACTTCAGAGCTCACGTCAGTAGCGGCAATCTACAAAACAACCATCAGTATCAGAGAGTATCACGGCTCAAATATTGGGATTAGAAAACTTCAGAGCACAAATATCAGCACCACATAACTCCAGAGCACACGTATCAGCACCAGACAACTTCAGCAAGCACATTCAGCACCAGACAACTTCAGCAAGCACATTCAGCACCAGACAACTTCAGCAAGCACATTCAGCACCAGACAACTTCAGCAAGCACATTCAGTACCAGACAACTTAAGAAGCACATTCATCATCAGACAACTTCAGCAAGCACATTCAGTACCAGACAACTTCAGAGCACATTCAGCATCAGACAACTTCAGCAAGCACATTCAGCACCACACAACTTCAGCAAGCACATTCAGTACTAGACAACTTCAGAGCACATTCAGCACCAGACAACTTCAGCAAGCACATTCAGCACCACACAACTTCAGCAAGCACATTCAGTACCAGACAACTTCAGAGCACACATTCGGCATCAGGCAACTACAGAGCGCACATTTAGCAACAATAAGACTCTTGTCTCTCCGTGAAGCCGGGATCATTGATCCAGTCGCCGCTCCTGACGTCAATAAGTCCAGACTCTTGCAGGGCTGCAGTGGTCTCGGCGCGATGTATCGCTTCCAGCGCAGCGCCACCACCCGCGCTGTTGACCTCAGCAGACATGAGAGGCCTGCTGGCCTGCAGCTTGTGCGCCAGGGTCATGAAGATGGACTCGATGTGGTCACATTCGCTGTCAGCTTTGGCCGAGGTCTCGAAGAGCTGCGTGCAAAGTACACGGTTTCACATATGGCGTGAGAAAATCGATCCGAGTAACGAAGACTGCAGAGGAATAGGTATGGTAATGACAGGGAAAGGTATGGTACAGACAGGTGGATGGAAGTGTGGTACTGACAGGAAGTAGAACAATACAGACAGATGGAGGTGTGGTACTAAGAGGAGGAGGCATATATAGCCAGCCGGGAGGTGATAAAGTAGTGACATAGGTGATAAAGGACACACATGTTAGCTTTAAGATGAAAGTAGGAAGCATAGAACTGATACAGTATGTAATGGGTATGAGATTTGCTTAGGACATGGGTATAAGACTGAGATGGGAGATACGAGATTAATTTGATAAAAGGTACAGGATTGACCCAAGAGATATGGAAGTGATCCAAGACATAAAGGCCTGACACATGAGGTATGTTACTGAAATAGGAGGCATTGGAATGATATAGGAGGTAAAATATGAATGAAATAGAATAGACATAGGTAAGCACAGACATGACAGTAGGCATGGGTTTAGCATATCAGAATAACCACTATGAGCCAAGTTTCACAAACGAAGTGCATTGCAATTCGTCAAGAACAGCACAGAAAGTGTTAGGATGCAAGAATGACACTAAGAGGATAATGAACTTCAATGTCCACATGGTAAACAATTGCCTTAGGAAAATAATGAAATGAAATAGTGAGTTGCGATTTCATTTCAGAAATGTTTTTACACGAGTGATCATTGACTGCACATACATTTGATGCTGGAACTGGCAAAGACTCGGAACTTGCTCAGACTTGAACATGAGCCAATAGGCACTGACACAACAACATTTTTTCGGTAAGTTTTTAGTATGTCTTGATTAACTCAGAAGTTTTTTCCTCTCTTTGTAACTTCGATCACATGAGCTATTTCTGTCATGAGCCTCTAGCAACTTACAGGCATATTGTGGAGGTCAGCAAAGCATTGTGCAGTGCTGGTGGAGACTTTAATGTTGTCAGTTTCGTCACACTTGTTGCCAATCATGAGTCGAGGGATGGCATCACTGAGGCCTTGTCTGTCACACTCGACCAGCCAGCTGCGCAGAGACTGATTGCAGCACGTATGTTTTAGCTTGTTTGTGGGATGGAACTTACTTGTCCATAGTAAGGCTAGTTAAGTAACAATATGATAAGCACTAACAATGTTTGTTAATAGATTATATACGGTAATACAGACCAAATCAACTAGCAGGATAAATCTACACTGAATACTATAGAGAAGCTGAAAAAATATCAACATGAACAGTGAAAAACATGTAAATTCATGAAATGTTAGAATGGAATGTCATGACCCTATGAGTTATTCATCACTTGCAAAACTGATTGGAATTATTATAAATATGACAGAAATAGAAGCCCTAATATTAACCTGGAAAGATGACGTTCTGGTCACGTCATACACCAGCACCACAGCGTGCACATTGCGGTAATAATGCTGCACCATGGACCTCCTGAAGCGCTCCTGCCCGGCTGTGTCCCACAGTTGAAGCTGAAAAAAATCCAACTCAGTACTTACTGCAGTGAGTGATGGAGAGCGCATTTTCTCGTCAACGAAAACGTGAAGTCACAGAGACGGACAGATGGACGGACATGACAAGCACAATAGGGCATTTTTTTCCATAAATGAGAGAATGTGCTAAAAACAAACATATTTAGTAAACAATCAGAATTTCTCTCAATGTTGCTGGGCTTAATAATCCCTCAAATTTTAGAATCATATACTTGCAAAAAATTTCAATACTTTCTTCTTGATTATGATTCTATAATAATAATTTTAGACTCAATATAATATAATATAATTAATAATAATTGTATTAGACTCACCAAATAAAAACTAAAAATCCAATTTTTATCCAATTGTTTATTCCCAAATTTGCAGTGCCGCAGGACTCTTCTACTAATGACAAATTTTCAGGTCCAGGTATTATCCAGACGTACTAATAAGTATTATGGATAAAGCCCTTATATATTATGGCTTCAAACTTACAAATAAACATTGACAAGATAATTGTCCAACAGAAATAATCAATTAAACTGAATATCTATAGATTCATTTGGCCTCACCACAATGTCTTCACCGCCGATGGAAAGCTTGCGCTCACGGAAATCCACCCCAATGGTTGCTGCTGTCTGAGGAAAGCTGCCATTGCAGAACCTGGAATATAGAAAACTTATTAGCCTTGATTTTTATTGATTTCTTATCCAAACTTCATTACAGATATCCAAATTTGATTACTTAAATTCCATTATTGTATTATCAACAAAAATAGTATCAACAACTTTAACCTAATTTCAAACAAGATATTTTCACGTGCTTAAAATAATGAAAATCAGCCTTAAATCAATAATGAGGAACCAGTAACAAGAGAGAGACATATTTCATATGATAAACTTACTTACTTCTTTTTACTTACCTGAAAGTCAAGCAGGTCTTTCCAACATTAGTGTCACCAATAACAATGACTTTGAAGGTACGCATTCTGTTAGGCTCACATAACTGACACAAGTAACAAAATTATGATAGCTCTTCACATTTTCACAAGATCAAGATCAGACATACAATTTCCTACATCTTAATTTTGTTGTTCTGCTTGATGGCCAATTGAAATAAGTCCTTCATCATATATTTACTGATGCCCAACAAACCTGATGTTGTGCAGATCACAGCACAAAGTTGTTTTTGAATTAATCTAGAAAGATTTGAATGTTATGGAGCTTTACTTGACAACACATATTTTATTAGTTAGTGTTTAACATAAAAAATATGTGGATGAGGTTCATATTTGGGTATTCTATCTAAAATAAAATTTATTATGTTACTATAGAAGCTGTAGCATATTGATAAAATTGAACAGTACACGATTCAACTCAGAAGTGAAACTGAAACTAGAAATCTAATCTTTAATATAATGCATTGTTATGAGTTAGGTATGACTTTATAGCAAGTTCAAAGGTTGGCAGTCTATTAATGTCTGGTAAATACTGCTCCGAAGAAAAATTCTAAATTTTCAGTTTCTACTAGAATACAGTGACACGCATATTTATTGGCAGCTTTCAACTCTAAATTTAAATATTGCACCTATGTCCAAGATACTGATGAAATATTAGTGTGCTTGTATTAAAATGCTAGCCTGTAATTGTGTAAACTAATTTCTTACCTTAAAAATATATTATTCATTTAATATTTTCAGGTATATCTTATTTTGTAAATTGACTGTTATTTTCCTCGTGCAAAATTAATGGTAACCTTTACATAAAATCAATTTAACTCATCATTGTTGATCAAGAATATTCTAGGTTGATCTGAGGATGACTCTACAACATTCCCGAACATTCCAAAACACTATGTGCTACAGTGCCTATACTATAAACCTATACGCCAAGTTTGCACTTGCTCAGTTAGTTGTTTGAAGCAGTCGTATAAACACATCTCCAAGATTTTGTTAATTCAATTATGGCAAAGACTTCTGAATACTCACAGGACATAAGGAAGTGTGTAGTTGAACTACACAAAGGAAATGGAGTTCAAAAAATATCATCAACTCTGAATGTTCAGAGTTATTATTGTCAAGTTCAGGAATGATGGGACCACTGCAAATCAAGCAGGAACCAGTTGTAATCAAAAATGAACAAAAGAGATGTGCCTTCCTGCATGAAAATAGTAAATAAAGACCCAAAGATTACTTCCAAGGAATTGCAATCACATCTGGCTAGTACTGGAAAAACTGTGGATGCATCAACAGTGCGATGCTACCTGAACAGTGAGGGCCTTCACGGGCGTGTACCAAGGATGAAGCCACTGTTGAAGCCAATTCACAAGAAGTGTTTGGAGTTTGCCAGGAAGCACATTGATGCTACTCAAGCAGAGCTCAATAATATATTGTGATCAGACGAGACAAAGCTAGAACTATTTGGTGTGAATGACAACCACTTTGTATGGAGGAAATCTGGTGGAGCTCTGGTGGAAAATAATATACATTTAAAAATTACTTTTTAAAGACAACACTTCTAAAGAATCCAGTGTCTTCAATCTTACAAATGTACAATGAATTTCTGATTTAATTTTCAAATCAAAAAATTAGTTTTTCAATTTTTTTAATATATAAATTTTTTAATATATAATTTTTTTCAAAATTATTTATTCTATCAATTGATTCATGCATTGCCTCTGACTTCACAGAAGTGTGCAAAATTTCAGATCAATCAGACAGGTAAAAAAGTGTCAGATATCAGTTATAAGATTTGTAGCTGACAAAATTATTTTTTCAATTTTTTTACTATTGAAAAAATTTTTTTTTTTTAATTTTTAAAATCTGTTAATTTGACATTTGATTCATGCATTGTCTCCAACTTTACACAAGTGTGCAAAATTTCAGATCGATAGGATAAGTAGAAGTGTATTAAATTTTGATTACAAGATTTGTAGCAGACAGACAGACAGACAGACAGACAGACAAGAAGTGAAGTTAAAGAGAAGTGTTGTAAGAACACTCTACCTACTGTGAAGCATGGTGGTGGGTCCATCATGTTGTGGGGATGCTTTTCTGCTGCAGGTACTGGGAATATTTCTGTGATAGAGGGCATCATGAATTCTGAAGGATATCAACACATTTTAACTGATAATGTTAAGCAATTGGCAAGAAAACTGCATCTTGGATGGGCATTTGTCTTTCAACAGGATAACAACCCTAAGCAGTAAGCACACAAGCAAATCAACACAGAAATATTTTGCTACACAGAAATTGAGAGTGTTGGAATGGCCTTCCCAAAGCCAAAATTTAAATCCAATTGAAAATTTATGAAGGGAACTCAAGAGGCATGTTCATATAAGAAAACCCAGCAAAATTGAAGAATTGAAGACTCTTGCCATGGAAGAGTGGTGCATGATTCCCACTAAAACATGCCAACACCTCATAGAAACATACAAGAAGTGTCTGTCTGCTATCATTGCTGCCACGAAAGGTCACACAAAGTATTAAATTAGAATTGCCAACAATTTATATATATATATATATATATATTTGTTTTTTTCAAAATGTTGCCATTACTTTTGCTTTTGGTATTTTTCTAATCAATATAAATACAACAAAGACCTAATGTTTTAATATCTGTTAACGTTATGCACAGAAATTAGATGTTCTTTGATCAATTTAACTGAAAATAAATGCAGAAATTGCAATAAATGCTTCAAATTTCATTATTTCTCAAATTAAATATTTTTAAGCATGTTGCCAAATGCCAATAAATATGCACGTAACTGTAGGTATGGGCGGCCCGTATGGGCCATAAGGCTTCCCAAATTTGTGTATTAAGATAATGATAGGCCCAAGTTCCAAAATCCAAAGTAGTGAAAGTAAAAATTACCAACCTAATTACAAATTAGGTACCTACTAATTAAATTACCAACAAAAGGGCTTAAGGGGCCTCAGGGGGTAATGAGCAGCGGTTTTGAGCATTTTTCATTAATAACTAGGTAGGCTACTTACCATGAAACTTTTCATAAACAAGTTTGGGCTCATTTTAAAGCTCTTCAGCCTCTTTGCAACTTGCAAGGGCTATTGTATGTAATGAAATTACTGAAAAATTACAAATACTATTCATAAGGTACTATTCGATTTGATGCAAAATAAAAGCCTCATGGAACCTCTCCTCTCACCCTCTGGAGTCTGGAAATGGGGTATTCAGGAACACTGAAATAAAACTAGTAGCCTAATTTCAAAACATTTGAAGCATGTAAAGTATAGTAAACTAGCCTAACTGTAAGTGCCATGGTCAGGAATATGTGCCAGGTGCGCGGGAATTTATATTGTCATTTTAACGACCTGCGCGGTGCACCGTACTATGCCAGTAAAAAAAATGTGCCGTGCGCCGACAGCGCCGTACTTTTAGAAAGCTAAAATAGTTTAAATATGGACGCGCGGCAATGCAAATTACGTAATCACACTGACCGTACACAAAACCGTGTACTGTGTCTAAATCAGAACTGTGTCGGACGGCTCCGCGGCCTGCGCCGACTGCTGCGCGGCGCGGAATCGATGACCGTGATTTGCACGAACGCCTGTGCGAAAAAAATATAATTAGATTGATTTACGCGAGAAATTTCCCCGTTTATATACATCTTCCTGAGTGTGGCAGTATTATTGATGGTGATGGAATATTAGGCCTTAACATCCATGAACATGCCATTGAGCTGTGAGCATTTAGGTACAACAACCTTGTCCACTGCAAGACTGCAAGTTACATATCAGCACTCAGCAGGACAGCAGTCATATATGATAGAGCATTTCTCCTGTATCTGGGGCTGGCCCGCTGGGGGTTCTGCCGTTCTGGGCTTGTAATTTTGCATCATTTCAATTGGGTACTAAAGTTAATCCACTATAACAAAAAAGATTGTTAAAAAACATACCCGAAACAGAAAGGAATATGTTAGTGACAACCAATCAACCATCATATTGGTATTATTGCAGATTAACTACATCCAAAAAAAAGGGTGTTTTTTTTTTTGAATCATATGTTTTTTGGGGTGTAGATTATGAATCTGAAATCCATTTTTGGCGGTCGGCATCGGAAAACCAATTTTTTTCGCGACTTACTAACATGGGGGTTACGTAACTTACGTTACCCACTCACCTTTATTTACTAACATGTTACTAACATGGGGGTTACGTAACTTACGTTACCCACTCACCTTTATTTACTATATTTAGTTCAAAAATGTTTTCCGATTTTTTGCCGATTTCGCAGATTTTAGGCATTTTTAGCGCGATTTTTGGGTCGGAAAAAAATCGGTTTTCCGATGCCGACCGCCAAAAATGGATTTCAGATTTGTAATCTACACCCCAAAAAACATATAATTAAAAAAAAAAAACACCCTTTTTTTTGGATGTAGTTAATCTGCAATAATACCATCATATTTTTTGGAGAAATACCTAAATCATATTTTTGGTCAATTAATTTTTATTCTGTTTTGCCCGGTGACAGTCAGTTTAAGACATTTTCCAAAATGGTGCATAGAAATGATAGATTCTATCATTTCTATGCACCATTTTGGGATGACCGATGATGCATTAATTTTTCAATTGGAATTTTCATACTTATGAATTATGAATAGTATTGCTGCTGAGCTGCTCCAGTCCAGGCATTTCCAGTAGGTATAAGGTATGGTGTCAAAGCAGAGACTTTTATATTTAATCATGGATAATTCATGGTGGCCAAACATCTTCAAAGTTGCGTAGTAGGTCGAGGTGCGTCGTAGACTGATAGGCGCTGTCGCCTGTTGGCACTTGGCAGTCTTGGCTGAGTCGGCTCCGGCTGTCGCGCTGGAGGGTCGCCTTCCGAAGATCACCACTGTCCACTGCCCTGGATGTAATGGACCATCAGGATTCCTGTTTTCCGGAACGTAGCCTTCGACACTTCAAACCGTCCGTATCTTGGCCGTGGGTCGAACCAGCCCTCGGTCGAACGGCCACTTGTTGAAGGACGATAAATTTTGGAACAGAACTATGCTATCTGAAACCTAACCTCAGATGCGGTGAACTTTGAAACTACGTAATATAACGATGCCCGGAAGTCAGATTCGACCCGCGATCTGGTGGTGCACGGCAGGTGGTGGTCAAGGCCGGAAGAGGACTAAGCCGAGTGGTACACGGCTGATTGGTGGATGTCCGGAGAGATGCAAGGCATTCGATTCAGGGCTAATTGGTGCACAAAATTGGTGGTGCACGGCTGCGCTCCCGCGCTGATTAGACACGGAGCGGCTCTAACTGCGGACAACTCAGTTACAAGCATTGTATCTTAGAAAGCCTAATTCGATTTAATGGATTGAGATTTGGGGCGTGGTGACTATGAAAAATTGAAAAAAGACATTACAGAGTAAGGCCTTTATAACGGCCATCAGCCACGCATCGCATATTCATTTGTTAGTAGGAAGGAAAAAGGGAGACCAGCCAGGTAGACGAAGCTAGTGGAGAAGCTAGTGGGGTGTGAAAGTTTGTGTTAAATTGTGAGATGAAGAAAAAACAAGGGGAAGAGAAATTCAAGAGGAAATTTTATTTGGTTAATTATTACTATATCCTATTTATTGCACTGTATAGTTTACATCTATATTAGCTTCAGGACCTCGTAGGCAATGAACGACTATTTTTATTCTATTAAAATATTATTGATACAATTATTCCCATTTTATTATTACTTTTTTCCAGCATATATAATGTGTCACAGTGTCAGCGTTCATAAGTAAATATATGATCAAAATTAACTGTAAATTCGAGGACTGTATGTATAAACAATGTTCGTGATATTGAAAAATTATTCCAGAAGGAATCCTAGAATTTTAAACAAAATCCAACACCATGGGCCACGGCTATAAACTGAAAAAACTGCGTTGTAACACATCCATGCAACATTTCTTCTCGCTTCGAGTCACCGACATGTGGAACAGCCTCCCTGATAGCATCGTTAAAATGCTCCGAGAATGAACCCCTTTAAGAAGTATCAACCCCAGTGAACCTGAGTGAAGGCCCATAGTATCAACGCCTTCACTGAACAGGGTGCCCAGTGGTTTAAGTTCAAGATTGGAACAATGTACCAAGATTGGAACAAAGGGATGCGGGTTTGACAGCTCTGTGCGTCAGTTTCTGGTCAGAATCGACAAGGAGGCCGGGCGGTTAAGCAAAGAAATTTTGAAGGACTGAGTTGCAAGTTTAAGCCCGCAACGTACTGTTGATGATCTGTAATATTAAGAATTGGCGACATGCCTACGGCCTTATAAACGCTGAAACCTCTATAAGAATAGACTAGACGAAGCTATGCTGGAGCTGCGGAGCATATGTTCAGTCTTGAAATGCCTAGCACCTTACGGATAATGCAATAAGTCCAGCAGCTATCTCAATCATTCGTCAGTTATGGAAAGATCGGATTCAAAAGGCTGGATCCCTTGTGGAATCAAGTCAAGTACAAGAATTGGCAACCGGCCATGGGCCTATTTCTTCAGTGCCGACACATCTATTCTATTCTATTCTATGCTAGATTAGATGTCCGTAGATGTCCGTAGATTAAGGCCTGTAAATAATGTAGGGAGTAACCGCATCATACGGAATGATGTCCGTAGATTAAGGCCTGTAAATAATGTAGGGAGTAACCGCATACATCAAAGTGAAAGTGCACAAAAAGTTTTAAAATGTTTTTACACGAACTCGGATTCCGTTTTGAACAAAAAAAGTGAACTGTTAACTGTGATCGCAAACGAGTGTATAGACATTATTTGTATTACAGAAACACTTCCTAAAAATCACGGGGGGAAAATTGTACCTGTTGAATTTCAGCTGCCAGGTTTTGATTGTTTTCATAAC